TGTCATGAGTTTGAGACCATTCTAAGCTACACAAAGGGAGACCCTGTATATATACATAACAAACAAGCAACAAGACCCCCCCACACACACACACACAATGAAGGAGCACATTCATAAATGTTTCTGAAGACTCATCCTCACTAAGGAAAAAAACAAAATCCCATAGCCTAACCATTTAATATTTTAGTAAATTTTTTTATGCCTGACTATTTTCTTGTAATATTTGTTTTGTTGCTTAAATAAAGAAGTTGTGGGCTGCTGAGATGGCTCAGTGGGTAAAGTGTTAGCTGTTTCAAGCCTGAGTCCAATCTCTGGAACGTATATAAAGATGGAAGGAAAGCCAGGTGGTGGTGGTGGTGCACATCTTTAATCCCAGCACTCAGGAGGCAAAGAAGGCAGATCTTTTGAGTTTGAGGCCAACCTAGTCCAAGAGTGAGTTCCAGGAGAGCCAGGGCTGTTACACAGAGAAACACACTGTCTCAAAAAACCAAACCGGATCCCCAAACCCCCCCAAAAATGGAAGGAGAGAATGGATTCCACAGATTGCTTTCTGACTTCCACAAGAGCGCTATGTCATAAATACCCACACATATGTCACAGATATACAAAATGATGATGATGATCAAAGTTGTATTTATATTTTCATTGTGAAGGGAGCAGGCAAAAGGCTTGCATTGTATGCTGGTTGACAAAGATGGAACACACAAGGAAAGTCCCTAGTCTTTGATTTCTGATTGGTGAAAATTGTAACTATAACTTGGCAATAAATGTTTGTAAATTTTACACGTATAAACCCCACTTCTGCCTCTGCTTGGGGTTGTCAGGAGAAACAAGGCTCCAGAGTCCTTGTCCTGCAGCCCTGATTGATCAGTGGACCCACTTATGTGGTGAAATATTAAAATCTTTGGGACTCATAGTGTTGTCTCTCATGTTGCATAATGGGCTAGATGTAACAGCTGTTGTACAAAACAGGGTTTTAAAGATGAAAGTTCTGTGCCCTATGTTGGGGTTATCAGAAGAAGAAATAACAACTGAGGTAAAAGTGATTGGTGTTCTAGTATCACTAAGAAAATCCCTACACAGGGTTTATCAGTAAATGATAAACATTTTTTTCACATTTAGAGCAATGAACAATGTTACTATATACATATTTTTAAACACTAATTTCCTCAAAAGAACTCACAGCATTTATCATTCCAGTCTAAAGAATCAGCCACTGGGCTGGCAAGATGGTTTAGGAGGTAAAGGAGGCTCTTGCCAAGGCTGATGACCCAAGTTTGATCTGCAAGGTCCACATGGTAGAAGAAGAGCACCAACTCCCAAAAGTAATCCCTTTACCTTCTCATAGATGACATGGCAGCACTACTCCTTCCCCCACACCAAGACGAAAAAATGTTAAGAATCAGCTATAAAACAGTTTCTTTTACAAAATAAGGTTAATTTGTTCCCTATGATCACTCTATTCCTAATGACACACATTTTAGAAGCTAACATACAAACCATTATAAAATGCTTAGTCTACAATTAAAAAAGGTATTTGATAAAGAGTTTTAGACTGGCGGTGATGGCGCACGCCTTTAATCCCAGCACTTGGGAGGCAGAGACAGGCGGATCTCTGTGAGTTCGAGGCTAGCCTGGTCTACAGAGATATCTAGGACAGCCAGGACTACACAGAGAAATCCTGTCTCAAAAAACAAAAACAAAAAAAGGGTTTTAGATAAATTTTTCTACTATTCAGAGTTTGACTCTGGCTTTTAACACTGGATGTATCATCTGATTATTATTGCTGTCAGTAGAGATAAGAAATTAATGATTCATGGAGTTAAATTAAATAGGGCTCTGGGAATTAAATGACCTTGCATTTCATTTTACAAAGGCACTGTTGTTGCAAGCTAGCTGCTCACATTCTTTTTTTTAGAGGAATGTGCAGGTGTGTGTGCGGCACCAATCTCTCTTTAAATCTTCAGTGCTGTCAGCAGACATCAGCAGGAGGCTGGGAAGAAACAGACCAAATGACTAACCTGATCCTTCTTGTGTAGCCAGTGTGAAGCTGAGTTGTCAAAAATCTAGAATCCTCTTCCAAGTTTCTATAAATTGACCATCTTCATTCACTTGAATGAGCTATAATCACTAATGCCGACCTACAGATTACCCTTCAGCTCTCCTCACTGCCAGTCTTCTGTGTATGACACTTCCTTAATTCCTGACCACTTACAACTCTTCTGTTTTTACAATGTCTTTCACTGGCTTCTCTTTCCTTAGAGTGGTCCTCAAATGCTTAGCGTCTCTATTGTATGTGCATATACACACAAGTTTATATACGCACATGCTCCTGTGTCGTGTGTGTGTGTGTGTGTGTGTGTGTGTGTGTGTGTGTGTGTGTGTGTGTGTGTATGTAGCTGCTTGGGAATTGTGGCCAGTATGCTAGGACTCAAATTCAAACTCTGGAATAATCCCATCAAGTATTCCATTCTACTTCTACAGTTTTAGTCACCATGGCAACCAGAACCCGATAATGCACTTGAGCTTTTGATCATTTTCTGAAAGTATTCAAAGCTTTAAAAAAAACATTATTCTCACTTCATGAGTACTGTAACTACATACAAGTACTACCATAAGCAAATCACTCGTTTTACCCACTTCTCATTTCTCTGGAGTGTTTTCTTACAAAGTGAATGGAAAGAAAAGTTAAGTATTATCCATATATTCTAGACAGAAAATTTCTATCAGGAAAAACATTTTGTTAAGATAAGTATGGCTGGAGAAACAAAAGGTTCTGGTAACTCAAATGAACATCTCATGTAAGATGGAAAGACACAACTACTTGAGTTGAAAGGCTTACCATATATGCCCCCAAATGAAATGATACACAGATAACCTTGAAGCCTTTCATGCACTGACAGGCACTTTTAAACTTTGTTTCTAAAGGGTTAAAAACCCCATAACTGAGAACACCAGGGAGTTTCTGAGGCTCTATATTTTGTATCTTTATTCTGAGTTCAGGTCACATGAGTATGTTTTATTTATTTATTTATTTATTTATTTAAAAAAAACAAAACCATACTTGGGCTGGTAAGACGCTCAGCATTTAAGAGCACAAAGGGCTCTTGTAAAGGACCTGAACTCAATTCCTAGCACCCACACTGCCTGTAACTCCAGTTTCCGGGGAATCCAATGCCTCTGGCTTCCTAGGACTTGTGTTCCCAAACCCACACACATATATACAGAATTTAAAAAAATAAAACATATTAAAACCTTTCAAATTTGAATCTAAAAGCACACTGGGCTGCATCACCAGCACTGTGCCATCTTTACAGCCTCCTCCAAAACAAACACATAAAACTCTCTTCAAACCAAAGAAAGAGAAAACACAAAGGACACCTAGCAAAATGATGAGCAACAAGAGTGGAAGGAATGTCCAAGGAAATGGCTAGTGTTAAGAGTTGACACCACTGTACCTGGATGCCACTTGCCTCCTCTACAAGCTGAGTACTGGTTTGGACTACCAATGTATTTTGTGTGCTCTATAGGCACTGTGATCTTGTTTTCTATTTAAACCAATACAAATATAGAAGGAAGGAGACAATTAAAAAACTTCCTCAAGCAGGGCGGTAGTGGCGCACGCCTTTAACCCCAGCCCTCGGGAGGCAGAGGCAGGTGGATCTCTGAGTTTGAGGCCAGGCTGGGCTACAGAGTGAGTTCCAGGAAAGGCGCAAATCTATATAGAGAAACCCTGTCTTGAACACCGCCCCCTCAAAACACCAAAAAAAAAAAAAAAAAAAAAAAACCAAACCAAACCAAACCAAAACAAAAAAAACCCCAAAACCAAAACAAAACCAAAACCCACAACAAACAAACAAAAAAACTTCCTCAAGACAGCAAAAAGTCTCATGGATAAAACTGCTTGCTATACAAACCTGGCAATCCGAGTTTGATCCCCAGAACCCACTTAAAGGTGGTAGTAGAAAATCAATGAAAAACAACTTTTTCTTTGTTATCCCCAAAGAAATCTTATATATTGTAAAAATATGATCAAAACCAAACCAAAAGAAAACAAAAACATCATCACTTGAAAGAAGAAAGCTTTTTAGTTTAGTAATTCAAATAAGACAAAGTAAATAGGGGTGAGAAGGTAACATTCTTCCACTCTGCCACCCTGGGGACCCCAAAGAAAATATTGAACTGACAGAGCACTTTCTAAGGATTTTCAGCTAAGGTTCAATATTGAACAACAAACAGTTATGTTTTAATAAACATATAAAGCACACACATACACAGGATTTTATTTAATACAAAAATTAATTTTTTTGGGGGGGTAATAGAGTCTTTTAACTGTTGTTCAAGCTAGTCTAGACATTTGGGCTCGGGAAGTTATCCTGCCTCAGCCTTCTGAGCAGCCAGATTATAGGCACTGTCCCAGTTTGTGCTGTGAGGAAACACCATGATCTAAAGTAACCTGGGGAAGAAAGGGTTTATTTGGCTTACGTTTCCCAATCATAGTGCATTATGATGGGAAGTCAGGGCAGGCACTCAAGGCAGGGACCTGGAGGCAGGAACTGAAGCAAAGGTCATGGAGGAGTGCTGCTTACTGGCTTGCTCCTCATGGCTAACATAGTTACTTCCTTACACAGCTCTGGCCCACCTGTCCAGTGTGGCACAGCCCTTGGTGGATTGGGTTCTCCCACATTATTCATTAATTAATGAATTGTTAAATAGATTTGCCTACAAGGAATCTGATGGAAGCAATTTTTTCAACTGAAGTTCCCTCTTCCCAGATGACCATAGCTTGTGTCAAGTTGACAAAAAAACTAGCACAGGCATACACCACCATGCCTCTCTCAGAAAATCCTTTAACTCAAATAAAGCAAAATATCATGTGGGGCCTGAAGACATGGCTCAGCTGGAAGATCACTTGCTGCTCTTGCAGAGAACTCAGGTTCAGTTCCTAGCACCCACGTGGTGGTACACAATTCTCTGTAACTCTAGTTCCAAAGGACCTGACATCCTCTCTGCTGGCACTGCACACATAGCACACACACAAATGTATAAACAAAACATTCACAGATAAAAAAAATAAAATCTTTTAAAAAGAGTCATGTGGGGCTAGAGACATGGCTCAGCAGTTAAAAACAGGTACTGTTCTCAAAGAGGACCCGAGTTCAATTCATGGCATTCATACCAGGTGGCTCACAACTGTAACTCTACCTACCAGGGATCCAGCTTCTTCTGGACTCCAAGAGTACCTGAACTCAAAACTGTGCATGCTCTTTCCTGGTGGCACTAGACATGCAAGTGGTGCACAAACATGCAGGCAAAGTACCCATACACATAAAATTAATTTGACTAATAAAAAAGACAGTTCTAGATAAAATATGATACAATAAGTGTGGGAGCCCGTTCTGGGGTTCCTCGTGGCTTTACCCAGCAGGTCCGAATAGAGGATGATCAGGACCATGGGCCTGAGTGCAGGTGTCTGAGATGGTCTGCACTTGGCTGTGCTGGGGGAGGAGGTCTTTTGCTCCACCCCTTGGCGTCTCTATAAAAACCCTGGACCAGAGACAGTCCGGGCCCGTTGGAATAGGTTCCAGGCCCTCTCGAGGCTATCCTTTATTTTCTATCTGTTTATCTCCACAAGATTCTCCGCAATAAATCCTTCTATCTAATATTTCCTGCTGCTCGCACTCAAGAAAACTCTGGGAAGCTGTGGGGGTGGTGGGTAAACGCCCCACAAATAAGCAACTGTTAAATACTAAAACAATTTTCTCTTTTCTCTCTTTTTTTAAGTGACTGGGGATATATACCTCAAAAAAAGAATGCTTAGCTAGCATGCACCAAACCTGGGTATGAATCCCAACAATGAGGGTAGAAAGCCAAGGGTAGAAAAGGGAAGTTAGCAGAGAATCAAAATACCAATATCTCTATGAAACAGAGGCCAAGGCTACCCAATAGGGTTGCCATGAGCTAATATTTTGCACAAGACCCAAGTGTTCACAGAAGATTTGGACTTTAATTAAGGCTTAAATTGAAGAGGATCATTCACATAAAACACTAATGTGAATCTTTGGTGGATTTTCTTATCCACTGTTCAAGGTAAAATATCAAAATTCATCATTATTAGTATTGTTAAAATTTAAGACATTATTTCATGAGGATACTATCCTGCAATTAGGAAGACCATGTCTCAAAACCACACACTTGTGCTATAGAGATGCATTAGATGTTAAGAGCACTGGCTGCTCTTCCGGAGGGCCAGGGTTCAATTCCCAGGACCTGTGTGGTGGTTTACAAGGTCCATAACTCCAACTCCCAGAAGTTGCAGCACGTCTTGTGACTTCTACAGACACCAGGCATGCATCCAGGCATTTATGCAGTATACTTACATACATGCAGGCAAACACAGTTATACACATTAAAAAAAAAAGAAAAGGGTGCTTGAACCTCAGTACCTTCATGTATAAAATCATATGTTAAGTATGAGATGAAAGATGAAGATAAAGCCATCTATAAAAACAACAGAAAACAATAAAATACTCATCTAACAAAAGAGCTCCTCTCAACTTGAGTAAAACAAATACTTCTTGCCTTTCCTATTCAGACAGATTAGAGGGAACCATCTCCCCTTAGACCAGAAGTTAACCCTGCTAAAGCACTGTTAAACACTTCTTAGGGCTGGAGAGATGGCTCAGTTGTTAAGAGCACTTACTGATATTACAAAGGATCCGGGTTTTGTTCCCAGCACTCACATGTTGGTTCACAACTATCTGTAACTCCAGTTTTGATGCCTTCTTTTCCTCTCCACGGGCACCAGCCTCATACATGGTATACATACTTTTATACAGGCAAAACACTCATACACATAAATAAATCTAAAAACTTTTAAAATGAAAAATATATCCATTAAGTCACTTAATTTTAATGAGCCTTTATTCCATGCACTTACTTGAATATTTCATTTTTCCTTTAAATAAGCTAAGATGTTGGGCAATTTGGTGATTTGTCTCCTGATAGATGTTAGACCTTTTCCCGGTGTCCCAGCTTGCTTAAGGGAAGGACTATCAACCAAGGTGTCAGGTGGACTATCTTCATGCTAGTACTCTTTAGACATCTTGTGGAAACTACATGGTGATCTCAGTGCTTGCTAACAAAGCACAGCTCTGTCCCTAGAAGGTACTATTCCAGCTACAAGTGCTTCAAAAGAGTTTGTGCCAGACTTTTGACAACCAAAACCTCAGTGACTTCTAGATGATCCTATAGCCACTTTTATCCAGGCCAGAAGGGAAGCATCTGCACTGATGGTCCAGCAGAAAAACTGTGATTGCTACAAACAGTCCTTTTTAGCAAAAATATTTGCTGTGATTTGCTGCCCCCTTGTGTTGCAACATGAGACCCGACAATGAAAGGCCTCTGTCTTTTTTTTTTAGTCTACTTTTGATTTTTATCTTAGTGAAGAAGACTGAGCTCGTAGCACAAAGGTTGACATCAGCAGTGGCACCAGCAGAAAGTAATGAGGGAGCAAAGGCAGTGTCAACTCCACTGCAAAGGAGACAGCAGTGGCAGGAGAACTAGTGATGACCAGCAGTGCAAAGGACACAAGGCTGTGGAAATCGGAAGATAAGAAACTGTAGGCACTACTTGCCACAAGAGCTCCAAGGAGCTGCCAAACATTCAGGACAAAGGGTCACAGACATCGAAAGCTCAAGAGATACAACATTAACTAGTGTAGCGGGCTGAGACTCCCAACACCCTGGTTGCTAAAGGCTAAGGGTTCCAGCACCTGTTCCAAGAGCTATAACATTAGGAAGAACTGCTTGCTTGCTGTCTGTTTCCCTGGTTATCAATGCTAGAAGAGGTTTAGGCTAGCTTCTAAATACTGGGGATGCTGGTGGAAAAAGTACAGAGCTACAATCCCAATTGCCTGAAGCTCTAAGTCACTAGATTTTTAAAGCCTGGAACAATAGGCCCTGGGCCTACCAGAAGAGCCCTCAGGCCTTCGAACTCAAGAGCTGAGGACTGTCAACACTGGGAGAATCTCCTTGCCTACTCATAATTCCTATCAAGGAAAAGCAAAGGCCCTTAGCCAGCTGACTGGTAACAATAATTTTTAGGTTTATTTTTATTTTTATTTGTGTGTAACTGCCAAAGAGGGCACTGGATCCTCTGGAGTTGGAGTTACAGGTAATTATAAGCTGTCTAACATGGGTACTGGGAACTGAACTGAGAGCCTCTGTAAAAGTTTCGAGGGCCTTTATACATGTTGTCAACCTAACATGTGGTTTTTCATCTAAAAATAAACATTGTCAAAGAAAAAGACTATAGTCACTTCTTTCTGTTTGTTCTTTATTTTTGAGATAGGGTTTCATTTTAGGCCAGGCTGACCTGGCCATTTGTAGCTCAGACTTAACTGTGATTCTCCTACCTCAGCCTCCCCAGTCCTAGGATTACAGGCATGAGCTTCCTCACTGAGCTGCAATTATTTCTAATACAGCTGTGTGTGTGTATTTAATATATGTAAATTATATCTGATATTTGATTCTAAGCATAACTTTCAGAAACCTACCGTATATCATGGAGAGGAAAAGCAGAACTAGAGAAAAGTTTAACACATCAAGAGTCTACTAACCTTAACCCATTGAACAGCTGCTTCGATTTATCCAAAAGATAACAGAAATCTGTAACTGTCTTCCGCTCTCCCTGTGGGATGTCATCTTCAGCACCTCCAGAGGACATGGTTTCTTTAAGAGTAAATTCAGTCCTGTAAGAAAACACATACTCATTTACTCAGTTGGTGAACACAGGGTGGAAGTAGGCCCTAGTTACAGCAGCTAATGGCAGTTTCGTGTCTGTCCGTCTGTGTTCGGCACACCCGCGCGCCCCCCCCCCCCACCGCAAGACAGAGAATTCTTTTAATTATTCAAATAATCAAAACATGTAAGAAGTGTTGGAAAGTAAATGACCTCATACTGGTAGTGTTAAAAACTGTTGGAAACATACACAAAACCATTTTTAATGTTCTTTCTCATCTGATAACTATAATTTGAATTTCTATTCTATTGCAGGCATTTGGTCTGTTTAATAATCTGAAATATTGATCCTTTTACCTATTTTCCCAATTTGATTCTGTAAATCCATCCTAGAAAATAATCCTTCACATCTCCATATTTTATTATTATAACAATTAAAACCTAAAAACATTATATTGAGTCCAAAGAGTGAACCAGGGAAATATTCCACAGACTACAAATCCTAGTACTTACCTTATGGCTGACTTTCACTTAAGGTGAAGGTGGGGACTGAGGTGATATTCCAGCACCCACACAAAAAGCTGAGCATAGTGGTACATTTGTAATCTCAGAGGTAAGGAGTAAGAGACACGCAGACCTCTAGGGATGGCTGGCTAGCCAGAGTTGGCCATCTTTAAGTTCCAGTGAGAGACCCTATTTCAAAAAACAAGGAGGACAGCACCTAACAAATGACAGCCATCACACACATGGGTACCAGCACACAAATGAACACAAGCACACATACATGTGTACACACATACCCTAAAAAAAGGTGAGGCAATGAGTATAAAAAGGATAAAAATTTTCTCACATACAGAGATATACACTAAAACTGTACTTTTTGATATGTCTAGCAATGGGGCTCAATGGGTAAAGAGCTTGCTGTCAAGCCTGATGATCTGAGCTAGATTCCAAGAAGCCCTATAGGGTAAAGATGAGAACCGAGTCCCATAAATCATCCTCCAACCCCCCACCCATTAAAAAAAATTAACCTACTCTTAGTTGTTCTTTTGCAGAGCTGCCTGATTAAGTCATGCTGGGATCAAGAAAAATGGACCTTGGTGGTTCATGTTCCTGGAATTGTATCCATGTCAATGGATGCCCCACACACTCCAGAAGAGAATTTGACATTGCTGCTGCTGCTGTTATAGCAGAGGTGGCCATCATTGCTACTGTTTCTGGGATTACCATTTCATAATTGCTTACTACAGCTAGCACAGTGGAGACCCTGGCAGCAAAAGTAGCTACCACAGTTAATTAATCTTTCATTTTATTTGGTAATATAAATTTAATTCAATAGTCATATACATTTCGATTGGCTTTGAAAATTATAAATTTATAAACTGAAGTTCCATTGCCTTTGGGATACCATCTTACAAGGACTCCAATTTGCAGTAAGGCTCGTTAAGGAAGGGAATGGCTCAGTTGCCTTTAGCCTACTGGCTATGGGTGGGTTAGGACTTCTGTTGGTCTTTTCTGTGTTGAACACACAGATTGCAAGTCCAGCACCATTTTGAGATCTTTGGCAGCAGTTAACTCTGCAGCTCATACACGACTGAGCCTGTATGATAATGAGTATTCAGAGACGGGTAATACCTGGGGGGTGCTCACCAACCTAAGACAGAGTGCCTGTGTGGCCTGGGCAGGCGTCTCCATGACGGGTAAGGTGACCTGCTGACATCCCATGCAACCTAAGTCAGAAACTCATTTATTAGTAAAAGGGGGACCTGTAGGGCCCTGATCCCCGTTTTGGATAACTGTTGCCTTGCTTGCTAACCTTGACCTTGACATCCTCCCTATGTTAATTCCCTGCCGGGTTCCACCCTCCTGAATGCTTAAGGGAAGTTCCTTGTCTATATATCCTGCATAATGGGCGTTAACAGTTTAGATGCAAGATTGTAAAACATCTGAGTGCGAACTTCTGCCCTCCAGGGTTCTCCCATTGTGCTGTAAGCCTGTATTTAAGACCTCTTCCCTCCTTCAATAAACAACATTAAAAAAAACAAAAAACAAAAAACCAGGGCTGGAGAGAATGGCTCAGAGGTTAAGAGCACTGACTGCTCTTCCAAAGTTCCTGAGTTCAATTCCCAGTACCCACATGGTGGCTTACAACCATCTGTAATGAGATCTGGCGCCCTCCTCTGTGTACATAATAAATAAATAAAATCTTAAAAAAAATTAACCTATATTTTATTGAATACAAGCTATCTTCATTTGTGATCAGTTATATTAACCAGCCATTTAAAAAAGGTAACCTGTACTAAATTAAAACATAAAACAATAACTCATTTTGTTTACAAAGACAGAACTTCCTGGGACAACTCAGACTCAGAAATCTGGTCCCAGTGTATAGGGAGACAATAAGACAAGAGTAGACAAGGGTCAGAGATCAGAGCAAGAAGAATATAATTATTTTTAAATTAAAAATAAAAAGATTCATTTTATATAGTAATTTTAAAATTTGCATATGTGCATGTGTATCTGTGGATATCCGATCTCCTGAAACCGAGTTATACGTGGCCGTGAGCTGACATGAATTCTGGGAACCAAACTCGTTGTCCTCTGGAAGTGCTCTTAACTGCTGAGCCATCTTTCTAGCTCCTGGTAGTTATTTTAATGAACCCTTTTTCTCTCCAACATTATCTGGAACAGGCAACAGTGGATGCAAGGCAGGAAAACTATCAGCAGACCTAAAGTAGTCAAAAGCCTACTGGGTAACACAAAGCTGTCACTGGAGACAGATGGTGGTAAAGCCTTGTTTATTTATTATTTGTTTATTTGTTTATTTATTTATTTATTCATTCATTCATTCATTCATTCATTCATTCATTCATTTATTTATTTATTTATTTATTTATTTATTTGAGACAGGATTGCTCTGTGTAGCTCTGACTGTCCTGGAACTAGCTCTGTAGACCAAGCTGGCCTCAAACTCACAAAGATCCATTTGCCTCTGCCTCCCAGGTGTCAGGATTAAAGGTGTGCACCACCACCGCCTGTCTTATTTTTTAATCATGTGTATATGTGTGTCTATGTCTATCTGAGTGTTTGCCATGTGTGTGGGTGCCAATGGAGTTCAGAGATGTTGGATACCCTGGGGCTGTAATTACAGGCAGCTCAGCTGTCCAATACGGGTATGGGAATTGAACTCAGTCCTCTGGAAGAGCAATACATGCTCTTAACTGCTGAGCCATCTCTCCAGCCCTGAAGTAATTTTTAACATCCATGGTCAATACTGGGTGGTTTTTGCATGTTCCCATGTTCTGTTACCCTACTGCTCTTCTCATTTCATGGACTAGAGGAAAGAGATCATGAGTAGCTTTGTTCCTAAGAAGGGAGTTCAAACCTTAATGTGAAAGACCGTGACCCTGGTAAATCTCCTAATACATGCCTACAATCTGCCCCTTCATTTCCTAAGCACAGCAGGAGAGGTATAAACCAAGCTATAGCTTTCTTGACTCCATCTCATATTCTCATCAATGAAGGTTGCTAATGTCCATAGGACAGATGACTGACTTCATAGGAGGAAAAAAGTAAATAGAATAAAGCTAACTAAGGGAGAATATTAGAAACAAAGCAGGTAGAAATGTTATTATAAAACAAATATAATCACCGAAATAATAAACTTTATAGAAGGGTTTAAGAGCAAGATGGAGATTTTCAAAATAATTCATAATCTATATAAATGCCAGCGTTAAGGCAGTCTGCCAAAAGTAATTAGGAAGAGATGAGGCATATGTCAAGGGATATAAGGACTAGAGTGACAAGAGAAATCAATATCCATGTAATAGTGTATATGAATATAAAAGCTGCACAAGGAAAAATAAACAGTTGCAAAAATATCAATACATTTCCTAGAATGAAAAAAATATAAGATTTCAGACTGAAAAGACTCTAAGAATGTCTAACAAACTAGACAGAGAGACAGAGACAGAGAGACAGATATCCCACAGCTAAAAATCAAATATCAAAGTAAAATCTAAGAAACAGGGAAATACACAATTAAAAATCAACATTAGCTGAAATACTGAAATGAAAAGCAGTAGTCTATTGGGCATAGTGATGCACATGCCTGTAACTCAGTACACAGGAAGAAGTTGAGGCATGAGGATCGGGAGTTCAAGACCAACTTGGCCCACATGATAAGAACCTCTATCAGGGCCAGGCAGTGGTGGTGCACGCCTTTAATCCCAGCACTTGGGAGGCAGAGCCAGGTGGATCTCTGTGAGTTTAAGGCCAGCCTGGTCTACAGAGTAAGTTCCAGGAAAGGCACAAAGCTACACAGAGAAACCCTGTCTCAAAAAACAAAACAAAACAAAAAAACCTCTATCAAAACCAAAGGCAGTAGCAGTAGTCTGCTGGCTGATCCTTCTCCCACCATCTCTATCTTATCCCCCAACACAACAGTTTCCACCTCTGTGAGCTGTATGTTGAATATTTTCCTTATGGTTCTACACAAGAAACTTTTCTTGTTGTTGCTTTATTTGTCTGTTGTTGATAATTACAAATTTGCAATAACATCAAGAAGATTCTCATATTAGTACAGCTCCCAGAAATCCTCTTTACGTCATTAGTTATATTCTTATGTATATAATTATTTGAAGCTATATAAATTTATCTTTCAATCAAGTACTTTTTGGCTAAATATTTAACAAATGGGGGTTTACTTTTTTTGTATATATACACATGTGACTGTATGTATATGGATCAAGTGTATGCAAGCCTGCAGAGATCAGAAGAGGCATTGTATCACCTAGAACTAGTTGTTACAGGAGGTTGTGAGCTGCCACGTGGGCACTGAGAACCAAACTCAGGTCCTTTGCAAGAGCAGTAAATAGTAAATGCTCTTAATCTCTGAGCCATCTCTCCATCACCAACAAGTAATAAGTGCTTATTTGGGAACCTTCCTTAAAATGTAATGTGTGTTTATGATGTGTATATGTGTATGTGTATATGTGTGTGTGTGTGTGTGTGTGTGTGTGTGTGTGTGTGTGTGTTTGAAAATACTATGGCATGTGTGTAGCACCCTCCACCTTCCAACTTTTTTGAGACAGTATCATTTTACTGTTCAATGCTATACCCACCACGCTAGCTGGCACAAGAGCTTTGAGAAATTGTTTCTGTCTCCTATTGCACTGGGTTACAGATGCTTGCTACCACATCCTGCTTTACATAGAGTAAATGTACCTAGCAAAATCCTGCTTCTAATAAGCAAGCAAACAAACCCAGCTCTTCATACTTAAATATAAACAGGAATCAAAACTTCTACTTTATGAGTACTATAAAGGAAAGGAAAGGCAAAGTGAACACAAATTCCAGATATTCACTCTCTAAGTGAAGAAGTTATGTTTTTGATTTTTAATGCCTAACACTGAAAGGGAATATTTGGTTCACCTAAAAGCAGTGGTTCTCAACCTTCGAGTTGTGACTCCTGGAGTAGGAGGTGGGGGGTGGAGGGATTGAAAGACCCCTTTCACAGAGGTCACATATCAGATATCCTGCATATCAGATATTTACATTAGAATTCATAACAGTAGCAAAATTACAGTTATGAAGTAGCAGCAAAATAACTTTATAGTTGGGGGTCTCCATTGTTAGAACCCAGGTGCTCCCCCAGCCCGCTTCAGTGCCAAAAGTCATGTCATCACCAGCCA